CAAGTAGTGGAACCATGCCAAGATATAATTTTATAATGATAATAAGCACATTTAAGTTTTAGCCTCATATCTCGTTTCCTCCTCCATTTACAAAACATCAGAGCTCAGTGCTTATTTATTAAGGGAAAATTTGAACTATAAGGAACTTCTGTATTATAAAGTAGTTTTAAAGGATTTTAGCCATAGTGCTCCAGCTCAATCAGTAAGTAAAATTAGGATAACAAAATGTTACCTGAAAGACCTCTTCAGTGGACTTCCTTTACTAAGTATGTAAGAAGTTGTAATTTATTTGATATAATTATGCACACGTACTTAAAAATTTCAAGAATTTCTGAAACTTATGGAGAATTATTTTTCTCTTAAAATTTTAAACAGTTCTCTCCTAATCTTGAAAGCTATCACCTTAGAGTTGTTTTATAGCAGAGGTTTCCTGAGTAAAATATTAGCTTAGACCATATCTTAATTCTCCTAAATTTAAAATCAGTGACATCAGAATAATGTGTCCCACTTTAAAGCAATTAATCATTTCTCTGTTTACGCATCCACATCTTTCTACATGCTGTGTTTTCATTTTTAGTCCTGAGAAACTTCAGCTATGGTGGTAAGGTGGTACACTCATTCTACATAAAATAATAAAAGCATATATATATATATATATACACACACACATATATATATATTCTAGTTTTAATTTCCTTAAAGAAAAGATTTTTCTAGTTATATAGCACTACAGTTTTAACAATTAACATCTCAGTTAAACTTTGAAATGAGAAAGTTAAGTATTAAAACTAACTGTATTATATACTGTTGGCCAAAGAGTGGCCCACCTTCTTCTGAAAAGAATCCTCTATAAGCACAAAGCTCTGCGAAAGCTATGTGTACAACAGTGAATAAAAGGAAGACACATACCTTGCCAGTCAGATTATAAATCAACCTTTGTGGTGAGTAATGAAAGTATTAGTAATACTAATACTAACCTTCTATTTTGCTCTAATCTGAAATATGTGTTCCTCCTCTGTAAAAACAAATATTTCAAGTTTAACAAAAGATCTAGTCCATCATTCCGAATGTAGAAAGAATAAGTGGCCATTATCTGAGATCGCAGATAGTTCTTAAATTTGGATTTCCCTGCCAAGGGAAAAGCTGAGAAAGGATAGGACCATTTAACTTTCAACCATTTTTTTTTTTTAAGTCAGGACAGGTACAGACATTTGTATGAGATCCAGCAGCAATAGAAGTTTCAATACAGCTTTCTTGGACCACAGTTGTGAGTTCAAACTGCGGAGAGATTTTATTCAGCAAAAACCAGCACAGACAAGCAGAGAGCGCTCAAATCCAGGAATATGTAGGTTTCCATATGCTGCTTCAGCCTCCAATTCCCAGCATCAGCTTTCAGATGAAGAGACGGAAGTAAAGATGAAGCAGAAGAATTCAAGAATGGTATGAATGCAGCCAGGAGGAGGAGGACCTGACATATGAGGAAGGACTTTACCAAGAGCGTTATTCACGGAGATAAATGATTTATTTTGGTGGAGATTTCAGCACTCTTGAGACAACAGGACTCCTTATGTTGTCAAATACGTAGGCTTTATCCTTGAAAATTTAAAAATAAAGAATATCCTAACGTGTGGGCACAGTCAGAATGGGAAAGATGAATTGATAAATAAATCTAGCGGTCTTTAAATGTGATCACAGCAGATAGAAGATGCTTACTTTTATTGTTTTTTAATATTTATTTTTGAAAGAGAGAGCATGAACTGGGCAGGGGCAGAGAGAGGGAGACAGAGGATTCGAAGAAGCCTCATGCTGATAGCAGACAGCCCAATACAGGGCTCAAATTCACAAACCGTGAGATCATGACCTGAATCAAAGGCAGATGCTCAAGCGACGTACCCACCCAGGTGTCCCCAGATAGAATTTGTAAAGATTAGATGACAAATATATAAGTGTAATGCCTATTCTTCCGAAACAATTTTGAAGAATATTTCAAAAATGGTAGAGCCCCTGCTAAGTAAAAAATTCTCAACTTGGTATGCATTTTGAATTTGAATGGATTACAGATACCCTCATGAAGGCCTGGATGTTGACCGAAATGTGAAGAGATCTCCAAAATCGATCATTTTAGATTTAAAGGTTCCCTTCCAAAGAACTCAATGGGCAAGTCAAGAAAGTGTGAAAGTGTGTACATGGTAACTTCCTGCTGTTTGCAGTTGCTTAATTATAGTAGATAAATCAGAAGTGGGCAAAAAATCTGATGACATTTTTCACAAAAGTCAATATTTTTGTTTTTTATAGATGTTAGCTTCATCTTTTTAGCAAAGATCACACTTCAACCATAAGTTTCTAGCTTACGTCTCCTTCAGTGTTCTGAAATCCTATTTGACTGCCATGCCAGAGGTTCTGAGAGATTTTGACCAAATGCGCTATGGTTTTGACCAAAGCCAAATTTATTTGGGAAAGTAAAGAAAAGTAGAATCAGGGGCGCCTGGGTGGCTTAGTCGGTTAAGCGTCCAACTTTCGCTTAGGTCATGATCTCGCGGTTCGTGGGTTCGAGCCCCGCGTCAGGCTCTGTGCTGACAGCCAGCTCAGAGCCTGGAGCCTGTTTCAGTCTGNGCCAGCTCAGAGCCTGGAGCCTGTTTCAGTCTGTGACTCCCTCTCTCTCTGACCCTCCCCTGCTCACACTGTCTCTCTCTCTGTCTCTCTCTCTCTCTCTCTCTCTCCTAGAAATAAATAAAAACATTAAAAATTTAAAAAAAAAAAGAAAAAAGAAAAGTAGAATCATATATTGGCCATGGAGGAAAGAAATGAAACATAAATCCAAGTTGTGGGAAGGAAGGAGAGTTGTAGAGGAACTTTCTACCCCACTTAATATGCAGGATATTGACCCTCTTGATTTCTCTCTTTTGTATTTTCACTGCAAAACTGAACTCTAAATTCTGTACAGCTAAATATTTACATTCATTTCCACAAATGGATAGAATGTCTCAACTGTTAATAAGTCTCTGTTAGTCGTATTCATCTTTTGGGGCCAAATGGACTCACAGAAGAGTGTTTACCCTTATCAGATACCTACCAATTGCCTTTATTCTAATATATTCCAACGGACATAACATATTTGAAATCAGAATCAAGAAAACACTCAAAAGAAAAAAAAAAAAAAAACCCTGTGTACTTTTATATCAGTGCCAAGTGAAGGGTTAAGATAACAACTTGTAATCACACAGCTGTGGGCACAGCAGATATGTTATTTAGGGCATTGTTGGAATGAAGTTGAGAAAGATACTCTAGAGTAAACTCCCATTCGGCTTATTTCATATCTTGTTAAAATAATAAAAATAATCAACATCTGGTTTGTTTCATATTGTTCCACTTATTTCAGGTTCATCTTGGGTAATTAGCAGATTTCTCATTTAGTGGGAATTTTTATATTCTTTTACTAGTCATTGGAAAAGCATGCACAAGGTACACAAAGTACATTTGAAAAGTACAGAAGGATATACAGTGAAAAATGCCTCTTTAACTCCTGTGCTTTAGACACCCATTTATCCTCCAACCAGTAAGGACCATTACTGATTTTTGGTATACCCTTGCCAGTATATTCTATGCTTAAATGAGTATATAATGCTCGGCCTTTTAAAAAAATAAGTGGTAACTTAGTGCCACCCAATTGGACACCTTGCGTTTTTTTCACACAATATGTCTTCGAGATAGTTCCGTAGGAGTGTGTATGGAACTGCCTCATTCTTTTTAGTGGTTCCCACTAAAACATATTTTAGTGTTCCCTCACTGATGAACATTTAGTTCATCCATCCTAATAGTTCTGCAGTGAGTATATAGATACAGACGTATAAAATTCTGTACCTGTGTAATATATTTGTAGGATAAATCCTTAGAGGTGAAATTGGGTCAAAAATGGTTGTGCGTTTTCATTTGGTAAGATCTTGTCAAATTACTATCCATCGCAGTCCTATTAGTTATACTCCTAGAAGGAATTATGAAAGTGGTAATTTTAGTAATTATCAGAAAAACAAATAATCATTATGTGACTATGACTGATTTCTAGAATACAGTTATGGTAATACATAAACTACTGTTTCTCTCTTGATTCTTTAATGTTAATGACTGGCATCTGGTATCCACTGCAGGATAAAGCAGTTGTAATTATTATCCCAATTTTATAGAGGGGGAGACTGAAATGCAGAGATGTTACATCACTTGACAGGACTGATAACTGATAGGGCCTGGACTCAGGTGTTTGGAAAACTAGAGTCTGCAAATGAACCACAAGACTGTCTTGCTCCTATTGGGCATTTTAATTTTTTTAAATCACGTTACATACATTTCTTGAGCTGGTATCCATATCCTCTTTGCAAATCATCTTTCTCTTTCTTGTGTCTTTTCGTACTTTCAAACCTGCTTTTTACAGATGAAGCAGATCAAAATAGAAAGGTTTTGTTTTATTTTCTTTTTGCCCTGGGACCCCTAGAAAATTAGGAACCAAGTTAACATGATTGTTTATGACAGACCCCCCGTATTATAAATAAATATGTAGCAGTTTTATATTTTCCATTTTTAAAATTGATGACCCTCAAGTTATTTCAGAAACACATCCAACAAGTTCCCAAGAAACATTTATCATAATAAATGTTTAAATGTTTTTTAAAAAAAGAACTTCCTGTGGTTCTTTCAGCCAGCCCTCATGACACTTTTCATCTACATGCAAGTGGCTGTATTCTCCTGTACTCTGACACGCAGGCCTAGGTGAAATATTGTGGGCATAAAAATTGCATTTGGTAGGTCTGCTAGGAAGGGGTCATGTAAAAGTCACCTTTGATTTGTTAATGGATTTTTTTTTTAAATGTAGTATATGGCAGCGGGATGTGCATCCCAAGGGCGGGGGAGAATATCCATTTTATAAAAGTTTATTTTCATATTTTATACACTGTAGTTCTGTTGTGTGTTTTTGATTTGGTAACAATGTGTGTGTGTTTCTGTCACAGAGCACTGCGGCCTGTGGTGCTGAGGCTCACAGCGATGCCATCCAGCCCTGCCACATCAGAGAGGCCGTTCGACGCTACGGCCACAAGATTGGCCCCCTCTCCCCATTCACAGTACGTAATAACAGAGTTATAAAAAGTTATATTTATAATCTGAAAGAATTTTGATTTTCAAGTGGTCAAATGGAGAAGCAACGGAATTGTTGAAAGCAATTTGTGGTGACGGTAATTTTGTTGTATAAAAGTGGCATAATCCTCTTGGGAAATAAAAGTTAGTCATTTTTGTCTCTTTTTGGAAGGACAGGTTTTTTTCCTACAAAATATTATTTTCTTTCAATTACAAATTATGCTTTTTGTTGTTGTTGGGGCTTATATTTTCTATTTTTCAAAGCTTCGGTTTATAAAGCTTTTTTGTCAAATTACATGTATCCAAATATTGCTAGAAGCACTTTATATTTTAAAATTGGTTAGATTGGCAATGCCACTTCTATCAGATGCCCTGCTCCTAAACACACTTTGAGTTGGAAGAAGAAGAAATGATTTCTTTACTGGCTTTGAAGTAGGCTGAAATGCAGATAGTCTTTCACATCTTCAAATGGTTGTAAAGCTTATAATCAGGGTTTGTTGTTTTTTTTTTTTAATGGAGAATTAAAGACTGTATTTCAACAGCCTAAAGAAAGTGTGTGTGTGTGTGTGTGTGTGTGTGTGTGTGTGTGTGTGTGTGTGTTTTAATTAAGTGCTCATCGTGTGGCCATTTAAAAAAAGTCTTTATTCATGTTACTAGAACTTTCTCCAAGTCTTTCTCTGTTTATGAGGGATGGCTGGGATTTTCAGAAAGTGAGGTTTGATTGAAGACTGAGGAACATTAGAATTTACTGTGTGTTTGGTTTCTTCATATTCACTTCTGCTTAAACACTAAAGCAGACTCTACATGTTTAATATTATACATATATACATACATATATAAAGAAGTATAAGATACTATATGTTTTCTCCTGAGGGTGGATTTTACCATTATCCACTGATAGAAATCATGATTTCGTCTATATTATATCATCTCCTGTTTTCCTGTGCTTTAGTCAAAGGGAATGCTTTCTTTCCATTCTTAATTTTCATTAGTGAATTGTATGGATTCTCATTGGGACAGCAAGAATGTATCACAGGCTTTTTATATTTGTCTCCAGAAGTTTTGTGTGATTGTAACTATTATTTTCACTTTTGTTTAATACTTAAAATTTGTCTTCTGTGTTATAAGAATATTAATACTGCTGATGAAAGCAGTGTCTCATTCTGTGTGAATGTTTTTGGATCATTCAGTTGAGAGGACAGAATGAATCAAATATCTCTTTTTTTTTCCCCTGCATGATAGGCAAGAGTATTTTTAGTCGTAAGCCAAAAGAAAGATGAAATTTTGAAAAATATGAGATGATTGGAGGAATTTAAAAACTGAGATCGAAAGAACCATCTTCTAACAAAGGATTAAAAATGTCAAGTTCATAGATAAGAGCCAAATAATGACTAAAAGGTTGAGGCAGTGGAGTGGAGAGAGAAGGATAAGGAGGCAGGGTGGATAATAATCTAGAAGTAATTAAAGAATAACAAGGGGAAACAGGAGTTTTGAGAAAGAACCTAAAATGTTAACTAAAATAATGGATAAAATTACATAAGGGAACATGTACCTTAATATAATGGGAAAGCCTCCCAATCATAAGAAGTGGTGGCTGCTTCATTCTTCCAAGTTTTTTTATATGTTAATACATTGGATGGACGTTATTTATATATGTGCGTGTGTGTGTGTGTGTATGTGAGAATACATATATATGTATATATAGATACATACATATAACTAAAGATAGATAGATAGATAGGAAGTTCTTCTGATGTTGGAGGATGTTGATGTATATATACATAAACACACACATAAACAATGTCTTATACATATATCATGTCTTACTGGTATTCTGTTATTCATGTAATGTTGCTTCACTAATCTGAGATTGTAGTATATGGTCAGAAAATGTACTTGAAACTAAGTTCAGATATGTTTTAAGCTACTATTTATTTAATACACATTATGCTAATATGGTTTTTAAAATTAAGAATGCAATTTTTAAATGCTAATTTAAATAGATCTGGAAAAATAGAACAAATAAACCATGACCTCAGAAGTTCCCTTAGCCACTACCAGAGTGACAGCAACTGGTAAAAATCACCAGAGAGGGGCACCTGCATTTTCATCACTTCTCAGAAAAGACACACCTTTAAAGATCTGCTTTATTACTGAGAGCTATAATAATTTGCCCAGGCTGCAGGACTGAATGTGCTTACTCTATTTTATAGCATGATTAATATGATCAGGGAGACACAGTTTCATGGTATATATTATAATACATAAATCTGCCACTTTTTTTATTGAAGTATCATTGACACACAATGGTGCGTTAGTTTCAGCCATACAACCCAGTGATTCAACAACCCCATACATCATGCTATGCTCACCCCAAGTGTAGCTGCCATCTGTCGCTATACAACGCATGATAATATCATTGACTATATTCCCTATGCTGTTCCTTTCATAAATCTGTCTTTGAAATTAGTTAAAAATTCTCTTTAAAACGGGAGAGATTTGCAGACTGTGTATCTAACAATATGGCTCTCCTGCCCTGGCTCCCACATACCTTCAGCTGCTGAAAGAATGTGCTTCTGGTGTTGGGGGATGTTGATGTCCAGCTCCTTGAGGCCCAGTCCCCAAGATAATACTTTATGCTGCGCTAGGGACACTACCACCTAGGCTCAGAGCTGTGACTTATAAAAAGAGGAAGCATGCAGACTGCCTCTATAGTAACCATGGCTTGAGACCTAAATTTTCATACAGAAAAGTTGAGCTCAGTTACCTCTAGCATGCCACTTACTTTGTAAACTAAAATGCTCATGAACCGCTAGCTTGTACTAACGAAACTTAGAGATTTTGTCCTTGCACCATGTCATTCGGAATCTAAGTGCTTGTTTGGCGTATATATAGATGTGATGGCTCATTTAGAATATCCATCCCTTGATTCCTTTGTAGCCAATTCCCAATAATTGGAAGTTGATTTAGAGAATGAAAATAACAGTAGGTTACACAGACATTTAATTCCAGTAAACCAGGTCAATAAACCAGCAACAGTCTGTTTTTAGCGAGTCCTCATTCTGTTTTCCACAATATTATGACTTTTGACATAATTTTGCACACAATCACAACATGCTCAATTTCAGACCTACAATGTGTTGCATAAAGAATTGTGAGTTCTTCACCCTGGGAAGGAGTTGAAATGATAGATGAGCTTGAAACCATGTTATGGGGAGGTGAGGAAGAGGGAAATGATGCTTTGCACAGAGTAGTTGCTGGCACAGACAGGAAGAGGGATGGAGAATCGCAACATCAGCCCACCTACCACTACACACATGCGGTGGAGACACTTGGAAGCCACCATGTCCACCCCAACAGTTATGGCCATACTGTGTTTAGTTTATTGGTTTTAGCTGGTGATTTCTTTCTTCCCTGTGTTCTCATTTATTGGTAATCCTATGCAGAAGATCAGAGAAAGTATCATACCTAGAAGATTGATGTAATCAGACTAAATGATGGAACCAAGGGCTGAAATTTGAGGCTTCTAACTCCCAGCCCCACAATCTGCCTCCTAAAACACACTTTTGCAATTGTCCCCATGCATATATAGCTGACTTTCTGGATACACATACTAAAGAACATTTTTTTAAATGAATTTTACTTTTTGCCTATTGATTATTCTTCCTGTAATTGTATATTTTTCCCATAATTCTAAAAATCACTTCAGAATTTGTGACTTGGGGGCACCTGGGTGGCTCAGTCAGTTGGGTGTCCAACTCTGGGTTTCGGCTCAGGTCACAATCTCATGGTTGGTGAGTTCCAGCCCCAAGTCAGGCTCTGCGTGGACAGCACAGGAACCTGCTTAGGATTCTCTCTCTCTGCCCCTTCCCCACTCTCCCTCCCTTGCTCTCTCTCAAAATAAATAAATAAACTTAAAACAAAAAAAAGGCACCTGGGTAGCTTAGTCAGTTAAGCATCCAACTTCAGCTCAGGTCACCATCTCACAGTTCGTGGGTTCAAGCCCCAACTCGGGCTCTGTGCTGACAGCTCGGAGCCTGGATCCTGCTTCAGATTCTGTGTCGTCCTCTCTCTCTCTGCCCTTCCCCACTCATGCTCTGCCTCTCTCAAAAATAAACAAACATTAAAAAAGATTTTTTAAGCTTCATCAAGTTCCGTTTATGTAAGTTTATATGTTTATATAAGTTATTGAAAACAACTTTCAGAGACTGTTGAGTATATCGAAGTTGGTGATAATTTGTTATATTATTTCCTCATTTTTTACATTTTTTTTCATTTTACTGACTCCTTCATTCCTTTAATAATTTATTTCATTGACTGAGAGTAGTGCCTGTATGTTAGACAATTAAGAAAACACAGAATAGTAAAGGGTAAAATAAAACTTACTTTAAGAAAGGTATCAGAGCCCCCCCATAAAAAAAAAAAAAAAGTGTAGCAAAAGCTTTAAAGGAATTGTCCTATCAGAAAAGTAATTAGTATTTAATTGTTTGAAGAGTATTTTGTTCTCTCATCCTAAAAATTCAAATGCTTTTGGTAATGGTTTTTTAGAAAATATTCCTAGAATTTATTTGTGCAAGTTTTTTTTTTAAGTTTATTTATTTTGTGAGAGAGAGCATGCAGGCAGGGGAAGAGCAGAGAGGGAGAGAGAGAGAATCCTAGGCAGGCTCTGTGCTGTCAATCCAGAACCCAGCGCAGGGCTCTTAACCCACGAACCGTGAGAATAGGACCTGAGCCAAAATCAAGAGTTGGACACTTAAATCACTAGCCCCCTAGGCACCCATATCTGTGCAAGCTTAGAAGTAAAAAGCACTTAAAATTTTTGTGAATGAAATGTTTTTCAGGGAAAACAATCCAAAGAGTAACCCAATTGTAGTGGTTGCTCATCATATAGAAAACGTCAGGCATGTGTTTCATTAGACCCACACTGTTTCAGAGTAGTGGGTGATGCCATGCTTGCCCGCTCTGAAGCTCAACCCCACCTCTCAGT